TTTTCCTGTTCCCCATAGATAAAATATTTAGGTAGAACTGGCTACAAATGTGCTTGCTCAACTTGCTGCAGTTTAGTCATAAAAGAAAACTGAAATCCTGTTGTTCCTCGGCATTGCCTGTTTGTACACGGGTGTGCCATTGTAAAGACAGAGGCTTGCTGTCAAGTTGAAAAGCTAGCCAAAGCAGATCCCAGCAATCACAGAGCTGTGTGGCACTTGCACAGTGAGGGAAGCACAAGGTACACAGCACAGAGAAGTCCAGGCCAGACTGATTGGAAGCAGCTGCCAGAGGAAGGTGACAGTGTGTAACCTGAGTCCAGGAATGAGTCCAGGTTATTTGGTGTGCTGTGGAGGTGCTTTACAGCAGGCCATCTCAGTTCTACAACTGGGTAGTTGTGGCTGGGATGGGCACATGGAGGGTTGAGAATCAAAGAGGAAGGCAGAATCTGCATGAGCTGAGAGTTCTGCAGGCTTTCCTCCTAGGATGTGGACCTTTTCAAGTGTAATTCTCATAAAGTTAGGAACAAGGGTCCAAGGCTGTCTAGAAGGTAAAATTCTTGGTGACTTGGCACTATCTGACATTTAAGAGAACAGCTTTTTAGTGATGTGTTGACCCAGTTGCCCAAGCTAGGCTTGCATTCATCCCTGGCCCTTTTCTTGCTTCCCATGGGCACCAGGGTCTCCCCCTCCCCCATTTGTCTCAGTGAATAGAACTGCAGTTTCAGAATCTCCATTCTACTGTTACAAACCTTTGGGGCCCACGTAGTAGATCATGTCCTCCTATGTATGCTTCATCTGTCAGAAGTAATCACAGAAAGACCAGTTGTCTAGAACAGCTTAGAAAACTGATAGTATATTTTTTAAAGTGCTGATATATACCTTTGATAAGGGGATAAAAATGAGCATTATAGAAATTGATATAATGTTACTGAAGGGCAACATGACAGTGTTTATTGGAATTTAAAAAAAAATTTAATCTTGAATTAAATTTATCTGATTTAATCACTGGTGGCCACCAGGCAATTCATTGAAGAATGATAAGGCTTTCAGTTCATTTGAAGATTCATCACCTCAGAAACCCTACACAGGGTTGTTGTGAGTGTAGCAACAACAATGAATCTAATCTAGCAGTTACACTTCCTGGAATTCCTCCTACAGAAATAATGAGACATAGTATGGTATTGAATTGGAAGCAAGAACTCAGACAGATACTTGCACCCTAATGGTGGGAGCCCACAAAAAGTGGGTGGATGGACGAAACGTGGAACATGCATGAAATATAGTATTCGGCCAAAGAAAGGAATGAAGTGCTGATACGAGCTACAGTAGGGATGGACCCTGAAAACATGCTAAGTGAAAGATTTCAGATATGAAACTGAATGAAATTCCATTTATATTTTTTCTGGATAGTTCTGAAACCCCCCTAATAGGCACGTTCATGAGCTGGAAAGTGGATTAGTGATTGGCAGAGTCTGTGCAATAAAGGAGTGAGTCATACAGGTATGGGCTTTCTTTTGGAGATGATAAAAATATCCTGGAATTAGATCGTGGTAATCACTGTACAACTCTGAATATACTTTTAAAAAACACACGTAACTGTAGACTTTAAATGAATGAATTATATGGAGTTCTGGGGTGGTGCTGCAGGATAATGCACTAGACAGCAAGGTTGGCAGTTCAAATCCACCAGCCGCTCCTTGAAAACCCTATACCAGGGTCACTGTAAGTCGGAACCAACTGGACAGCACTTAACAGCAACAACAATGGTATATGAATGTATAAAATTACTTTTTTTTAAAGCTCTAGGGTAACATGAAGGGGTCCTGGTATAGCACTGTAAGGAAGGCACTAGACTTCTAACCTCAAGGTCAACAATTCAAACCCATAAGCTGCTCCTTGGAAAGCCTGTACAGGATCACTATGAGTCAGAAGCCGCTAAATGGCACTTAATAGCAACAACAGGGTAGCATGGGGAAAGGGAAACTTTTCAAAGAATCTGTTTTCTTACAAACTGTTCTACAAGTTGTTCTTTAGTTTGCCAGTGTGCGGAGGCTTCAGAGAGTCTGTGGAAAAATAGAATGTAAAAGATAATGGAGTTTTTCCACAAACGTTTCCTCCCTCGTTTGCCTGTTGCAGAACTCTTTGGATAATAAATTACAGTTCTCTAGGTGATAGGGAATATTCTTGAAAAGCTTATATTCTTTGGGGCTTTTTTCCTTGTATGTAGGCTTCTCACTTAGATGTCAGCATTTACCCTTAACTGATTCTAAGATTTTTGCAAGCAGTCCATGTAGTTTGAGAGACAACTCTATCTTTGGAGACTGAAGGAGAATTCGTAGAATTCCTAATTCTTCTTGGCTTGACACTTTCCCCCTTGCTCCCTAACACGTACATTGATAATCCCTCTACTTACAGATTCTCCTGTTTAGCAGCAGTCGCTTTCTATTTACAAAACATCCACTACTGGTCAAGAACTGCAAGCAATGAAGATACCAAAAAAGTATACATTTCTGCCTTTGAGGAGCTTTACTTTCTAATTGTTGTTGTTGTTGCAAGCTGTCACTCACAGAGGCACTGTGCACAACAGAACGAAATATCGCCCAGTCCTGCATCATACTCACAGTTGGTGAGCCCATTGCTGCTCCACTGTGCCAGCCCATCTCATTAGGG